CATATAATGTGCACATTGGTTCAGCATCGCTGTGTGTGGATATAACTGTGTGTTCTGCATTTTGGCACGGTCCAGTGTATCTTGCTATTACATATGTATCTACAGTACCTAAGTATGTACCCAGCGGGCGCGCACGTTTAATTACGACGCGGCGCGCCGCGCGTTGCTCTCAGCCACGCACGTTTACATTCGCAGTAACCACTCGTCTGCATACGCATTGTATATACGCGTGTGTGACACTTGATTGCATGCCTCTCGTATTGCTGTTGAACGATCCGTAATAGGAACCGGCTACGGCGACGTCACTTCAAATTCGTCGTTGTTTCCGACGCCTCCGGGAGCGACGCGACGCGATCTTCCCTCGTCTCCTCCCGGCCATCCTCCCGGGATCGATTGGTTCTTCTCGTATACGCGGAAGTTTATCCAGACGGCCATTCAAGTCGACTCGACGCGAACCGAATCCAAAAACGCCGGTCTACTACTCTAAAACTTACTATTTTTTTATATTCACATCGAATGGAACTTCGAGGAATTTGGTCATCAATTTATTTTGCAACCTTTAACAAGTCAGAGTTTTATACAATTTTTTTATAGACGTTTTTGTTAAAATTAATAGAGAGCGTTTAGGCAATGCGGTAATTTAAGTTTGATTTTTGGATGGCTACTTGTCGCGTACCCTTTCAACGGGTCGACGTACAGGGAATAGAGTGTTCGTTAAACAAGATTGAAAAGGGAACGACCGCTGTCGAGCCAGAAACGATTTACCGTCCTCGAACAGCTCGCATGAATGGTGCTCCCAATCCGGAAGTGATTTTTCCAGGCTATGTCACATTTTCGAACCTCGTTTCCGTACAACCGGCCGTCCTCGGCGCAGTCCCCGCGATATCCCAGACAGTGCACGATTGCGGAAGCCGCGATTCACCTCCGCTAGTCGATACTTCCGCAGCCTTGGCTCTCATCAATATTCCTTGTCCGTGCAATATTGCTTCCGTTAAAAATGAGTAAAAATAATCCAAGTTTAAGAATAAAAGTTCTCAATAATTGCTTAATGAAACAGGAAATTAGACAGAATTTTTTTTATATCGATTTCAGTACCCAATTTATCGATTACAAATATTTTAAATTAATTTAGCAATTTTGTATATTTTTGTATTTTATTTAGCCATACGCTAAGAGAAATGAAAAATTGTATAGAGAATTGAAAAGAATTTAAGGATGTATTGGCTATACAGTCAATTACAAAAGTTTATGTATCTTAGGAAAACGCATTTCCTATAATTATAAAGAAATCAGACGTCGGAAGAACAATGCTAATAATAAATAGCTACGTG